TCTACTAAAAACACAAAAATTAGCTGGGCATGGTGGTGTGCACCTGTAGTCCCAGCTACTTGGGAGGCTGAGGCAGGATAATCACTTGAATCCAGGAGGTGGAGGTTGCAGTGAGCCAAGATCTTGCCACTGCACTCCAGCCTGGGCGACAGAGGGAGACCTTGTCTCAAAAAAAAAAAAAAAAAAAAAAAAAAAAAGCAAGCAAGAAAGGAGCAGGATTGAGCAGAAAGAGAAGTTGAACTGAAGGTAGTCACAGCAAAAGCCTCAACTCCGGGATCCACAGGGAGCTCTAGAGCCTGGAGAGCCCTTCAGAGCAGCCCCACCCTGAACCCTGCATCTACCAGTCAAACGCACCAGGTGAGAGGCAGCTCTCTTCAGCTGAGGGCAACTCCTGGAAAGGGATTTAGCTGGTAGCTGTTGGTGAGTAACATTCCCAGCAGCTGAGGAAATGAGCACCTTATTCCTGAAGAGTGGTGTGCTCTTTGGTATGCTGGGGTGGTTGGTTGTCCCAGCGGAGATGGGGGTGGTGGGTAGAATGAAGGGAATGCTACTGTAAAAACAAATTTTTTTTTTTTTTTTTGAGACAATGTCTAACTCTGATGCCCAGGCTGGAGTGCTGGAATGCAATGGCACTATCACTGTTCACAGTAACCTTGACCTCCCAGGCTCAAGTGATCCTCCTACCTCAGCCTCCTAAGTAACTGAAACCACAGGCACATGCCACGATGCCCAGCTAATTAAAAAAAATATTTTGTGGAGATGAGGTTTTGCCATGTTGCTCAGGCTGGTCTCAAACTCCTGGGCTCAAGTGATCTATCGGCCTTGGCCTCCCAAAGTGCTGGGATTACAGGCATGAGCCACCGCTCCTGGTTTGGAACAAACTCTTGGAGAAAAAATTGGCAGAGCTTGTGCCTGACCAGAAAACAGAGGCTGAATGAGAGAGATGCATTTAAAACAATACCAAATGCTAAGAGTTCCCTGAATACTGTTAGTGCAGAATGGGGGAAGTTAGGATATAAACCGAATTCTGTTCTACTCTTAAGCTCATGCCTTTTCACTGGACTAGAGCTGGTCCAACTGGTTTCCATGGGCTAAATTCAGACAGCAGACATATTTTGTTTGGCTGCACAGCATTTAAAAAATGTGAATTGGCTGCCACTATGTAAAAATTGGAAGAGTTTATACATAAGTTCAGATCTCTAGCTTCTCTTGAGTAACTAGGAGATCTAGCAGCTCTGGGTCAACATTCCTGGATGGCAGTAACTGGAGTTGAGTGACAGATACCCTTTTAAATGGGGAGAGTATCTCTTATCTGGATAAATGGAGGTGCGTATATGCTCCTTAGTTCACCACAGTCTCTATGCATTGCCTTCTTTGGGAATTTTTTTTTTTGAGATGGAGTTTCACTCTGTCACCCAGGCTGGAATGCAATGGCACAATATCGGCTTACTGCAACCTCCACCTCCTGAGTTCAAGCAATTCTCCTGTCTCAGCCACCTGAGCAAGTAGCTGGGATTATAGGTGTGCGCCACCATGCCTGGCTATTGTGAATTTTTTTTTTTTAAGTAGAGGTGGAGTTTCACCATGTTGGCCAGGCTGGTCTCAAACTCCTGTTATCCTGACTTCAGGTTATCTACCTGCCTTGGCCTCTCAAAGTGCTGGGATTACAGGTGTGAGCCACAGCGCATGGCCTTCTTTGGCATTTTTGTTTAGAATTCCTGCCATACCATGTATGATCTAACAAAGTACCTAGTAGATAACAGGCATTTGGACCCTTTTATTTTTATTTATTTTTTAGAGACAGGGTCTTGCTCTGTTGTCTAGGCTGGAGTGCAGTAGCGAGATCACAGCTTATTGTAGCCCCGACCTTTTGAGCTGAAGTGGTTCTCCCACCTCAGCCTCCCAAGTTGCTGGGACCACAGTCACACGTCATATGCCTAGGTAATTGAAAAAAATTTTTTGAGGCCAGGCGCGGTGGCTCACACCTATAATCCCAGCACTTTGGGAGGCCGAGGCGGGTGGATCACAAGGTCAAGAGATAGAGATGATCCTGGTCAATGAGGTGAAACCCCGTCTCTACTAAAAATACAAAAATTAGCTGGGCATGGTGGTGCACGCCTGTAGTCCCAGCTACTCGGGAGGCTGAGGCAGGAGAATTGCTTGAACCCAGAAGGTGGAGGTTGCGGTGAGCTGAGATCGTGCCATTGCACTCCAGTCTGGGTAACAACAGCGAAACTCCATCTCAAAAAAAAAAAAATTTTTTTTTGTAGAGGCTGGGGTCTCACTATGTTGCCCAAGCTGGTCTTAAACTTCTGGGTTCAAGCAATCCTCCCACCTTGGCCTCTGAAAGTGCTGGGATTACAGGCATGAGCCACCATGACTGGCCCATTTGGACACTTAATACTGGTTCAGTAGAATTGAATGAATTTAATTGGGGAGGAAGTTGGGGTGAAGTCTAGGCCTCTGACTATAATGAGAGGCTTGGCACTTAGGGGAGGCAACAGAACAGGGAGTACAAATTGTGATGAATTAATGACATGCTGGCAGGAGCTTAAGTAAAGGAAGAAGAAGAGCAGAGGGCCAGGGCCTGAAGTTTGGGTGTCTTACCATAGAGCTAGAGAAGAGTAGGCAATTGTGGAAGAAACTAAAGGAGAGGAAAGAAAGGCACAGAAGAACTTCAGCAGCAGAATGCCAGGGAAGACAAGGGAGCTGAGGGTTTTGATCAGCTGCGTCCAAGAGCAGGGAAGAAGATCAGGGAGATAGACAGGCAAAAAGCCATGGCAACAAGGAAGTAGTTAGGGACTTTCAGAGGAGGGATGAGAAAAGGAGAGGAAGGTTGTGGGTCTGGAAGTTTAGCAGTGCAGTGGAGGCACTGGAATACTATCTGGGGGTATGAATGAGTGCTTTTTCGGGGGTCCTACTTGGGAGAAGCATAGATGGACATTCATTTAACATTCATCCATTTCTTTTCAGCATTGTCATCATTCTGACATCATCTAAAAGAAATTAGTGTCTGCATTGCATTCTTAAAGAAGAAGGGACCAAAGACATGTCCAAACTCTTTTTGTTCTAGTAGAATAAAATGTTAATATGTATTTTGGACAAGGACCAATCTAGAGATTGGAAACTTTTCTCAAGGATATATCTCTCTGTACGTGGGCTACTGACTTTGTGGATTTTCTGTAGTAAAATTAAAATTCTAGTTTTGCTGTCCCTTATCACCTAGTGTTTTTCGGTGTGGCCTAACTGGCTGATTAGTATATGGTTGGAATGTGTAAATTCATTTTAACATTAGCCTAAGGGCCTGTGTGGTGTGGTAGTTCACCCCTGTCATTCCAGCACTTTGGGAGGCCGAGGCAGGGGGATCAATTGAGGTCAGGAGTTTCAGACCAGCCTGGGCAACATAGCAAGACTCTGTCTCTACAAAAAAAAAAAAAAAAAAAATTACCCAAGCAGGGTGGCATTCATCTGTAGTCCCAGCTATTCAGGAGTTTCAAGTTGGTGGATCACTTCAGCCCAGGAGTCTGAGGCTGGAGTGAGCTGTGATTGAACCACTGCACTGCAGCTTGGGCGACAGGGTGAGACCCTGTCTCTGAAAAACAAAAACATTCACCTATGTAAAATGTATGGAGGAAGACAAATTTTAAAATTACTCATTTCAAAGTCCAGTGCCAGATATAGATATATTATCCATTGTTTTGGATGTAATCCTCTTCCTGGAAAATTGGCACAACCAATTCCACATGAAATCCTTTCAACTCTGGTACTGGGAGTACAGGGAAGGATTTTGTTTCAGGAGAGCCATAGTCTGCCTCTACTGTCCTTGGAGTTAAACCTCATCACTTTACTTCCTTACTCTGCCACCTGTCAACTCTGTGACCTTGGGCAAATCAAGGACACTCTTGTGACCTATTGTCAGTTAAATGAGAATAATGATATGTATTCAAAAGGTTTGTTAAAAGGTTTAAATATGACGATGAATGTACTGAATTAATAATGTATGCGAGGCCCTAAAGATGTTTTGAGGGTGGTGAAACTTCATTCTATTGTCAACTGTGCGAAAGTTTTATTAACTTGGGTGGCTATGAGTTTAGCAGAGTGAGGATGGGCTTAAATGGCAATGCTAGACCCAATGGCTAGACCTCGATTGCCACTGGGTTTAGCATTGGGATTTAAGCGACCTCTAAAAAGGAAAAATCACGGAGTCTCTCTTTGGCCTTCCTTTTTTGTTTCTCAGCAGTCTACAAAACTACGAAGAACCCGAAAATCAGAAGTCATGTGCTTTGTTTTTTCTGAGAGCTTAAGGCAGAGAGAGGCTGAGAGCACAGCCTCCCTGGGAGATTAGCGACTGAGATCCAGGCGCTGGGAGAAAGGCTAGCCCCAGGGCGCCCTAACTTCCAACTCCGGGAGCAATCCAAACCCGGAGGCCGGCGGGGGAGGGGGCAGCCCTAGGTGGAGGCGGGGATGGGAGTAGATGCGCCGGGTCAGCTCTGGCGCTCGCCAGCTGAGCCCAGGGCCAGTCTAGGTGAGCCCCGCGGCGGTGAGGGACGCTCGCCCGTCTGCCCAGAGGAGTTAGGTGACGTCACCTCCAGGAGGACTAGCTTTTTCATTAATGAAACCGGGCGGCGCGGGCGCATGCGCGGCAGGCCCCTTTCCCTCTCGCTTCCCCCTCCCCTTTCCCAGACGCGCTCTCAATCTCTAGCTTGCTCGGGCTCCCTCTCCCCGGGCCGTGGAAACGATCCCACTTCCGGTGGGGTGTCATGGCGGCGTCTCGGACTGTGATGGCTGTGGGGAGACGGCGCTAGTGGGGAGAGCGACCAAGAGGCCCCCTCCCCTCCCCGGGTCCCCTTCCCCACCCCCCTCCCCCAGCCTCCTTGCCAACGCCCCCTTTCCCTCTCCCCCTCCCGCTCGGCGCTGACCCCCCCATCCCCACTCCCGTGGGAACGCTGGGAGCCTGCACTCCTCAGACCCTCTTCTCGCCTCTTCCCTCACCTCAGCCCCCGCTCCCCGCCCTCTTCCCGGCCCGGGGCGCCGGCCCACCCTTCCCTCCGCCGCCCCCCGGCCGCGGGGAGGACATGGCCGCGCACAGGCCGGTGGAATGGGTCCAGGCCGTGGTCAGCCGCTTCGACGAGCAGGTAACGGGCCCGTGGCGGGCGGGAGGTGGGAGCGGAGTGGGGGTGGGGACAGAGTGGGTGAGGGGAGGTAGGACCGGCCGCCTCCCCCGCGACTGCCTCAGGCTCTGGAGGAAAGGAAGGGAAGGGAAGGGGGGATAAGTGGGGGTGGCCAAGGCGGGAGGTGCGGGGTAGGAGGGGACGGCTGGGAGCTTGGGCACCCTTTCCCTCCTAAGTCGGGGGGTGGGGCCTTGTCCCTGGCCAGCCTCCGACCCTCCATCCCGTTTATCCCAGCCCTTCCGCTTGGGAATAGGGATGAGTGACCTGGGGGCGCCTTCAGGGGCGCGCCAACTGGATTTAATAATCACCCCCGTAGTTTTGTTTTGAACAGAGGTGGGTAACGTTTAGGGGTTCTCTCTTCCTCTTCTCTCCGTGGTCCTCCTTACTGGGGACGAGCGAACCCTAAGGCCTGTCTTGTGTACCCCCAATAGGAGAACGATAACATTCCGCCCCTCCCCCAGTTTCTTCAGCTTCCTCTCCTGGAGGGGGAAGAGCAGAAAGCAAGGAAGACACAGGTTTTCTTACTTTCAGCTCCTCGTCTCATCCTACCCTGAGAGCTTCAAGTGCACACTCACTGCACATCTTTGTGATGCCCCACAACGTCGTCCCCCCATTTCCTGATGACACAGACTGTCATTTTAAAAATTGCCATTTGCAGGGGAAAACGTGGTTCTGAAATATCTTCCTCTTCCTTGATAATTGCAGTCTCTTCTCTCCCTTTTTTTTCTTGCCAGCGGTCTGAGGAGGTGCTGTATTCTCCAGTGAGAATGTTGGGGAGTAAGGGAAGAGTGAAGGGAAAGTGAGACACTGCTTGTGAGCCACTGACAACAGGAGCAAAGACAGCTGGGATGTGGTACTGGAGCTGATCGTTCAGCTAGTGTTTGTTGTTGTTTTTGACTCTCCTCCTGGTTGACAAGAGAAGTTTCATTGAGAATATTTGGGATTAAAAAAAAAGTTTTGTAGTTTGAGGAGGTGACTTTTTATCGCCAGGGTTTCACACGATAAATCCTTTTGTCAGTGGAAGTTAGTTTAACTTTGTGTTGCTGTAGGTAGTTGTGGAAGGTTTAAGGGTACTTTTTGCAGCTGTGGTTGCGATGGGCTTCCTGTGATGAGGGAATTGTTTAAGATTGAGCCAATCTATTTTGTTTACTGGATATAATGGTAGAACTGACTGTGGGAGCTGAAGGGGTGGGGGAAGAGCTCTTCTCTTATTTGATCCATAAACATTTCTTTACGGGACTCAAAAGTGTTTCAGACCTACCTGAAAAATATCTAGGAGCAGGCAGAGGAAGTTGAGAAGCTATGTAGATAAAATAGAATTATGAAGCTGTCAGAGACTTGAAGGAATTATTTCATCCATTTTTCTGCTTCCAGACCCAAAGGCATACTATAAACCAAACTATACTACTAATCCATCTGAAGTTTAATGTTACTGTATATAAAAGATTGCATTATTGATAGAGCATTAGATTTAAAACTTGATAGAAAAGACTCTAATTTTAAGAAAGGATTTAAATGGCACACAGAAGGAACTCAAAGCTGAACCTTGTGGACAGCAGAATCTGGATGTAGGAATTTGAAGGATTCGTGCTGCAATTCTCAATTTTTAAACATTAAAAAATTTTATTTTCAGTTTTTTCTTAATTTTATTTTTTCACTTCTTACCTGTTCATCTCTAGGCTTATTTACCATGGTGGAAAAGGTATTTAAAACAGGAATGATTTTGATTATATGCCCAGTAATGCAAGAAACGGTTTCTCCTTCTGTCCCTAGTGTTAAAAGACCTTAAGGCTTCATAGTTAGTTATGCATATTGTGGAATCAAACTCACCACCATCTGTTAAAAATTAAGGACATAAGTTTTTTAAACAGCATTTTTCTTCACTCCTTATGTTGTAATTAAGAGAAAGATACAGGCCAGGTGTGGTGGCTCACGCCTGTAATCCCAGCACTTTAGGAGGCCTATGTGGGTGGATCATCTGAGGTCAGGAGTTCGAGACCAGTCTGGCCAATGTGATGAAACTTTGTCTCGACTAAAAATACAACAAAATTAGCTGGGCGAGGTGGTGCATGCCCGTAATCCCAGCTACTTGGGAAGCTGAGGCAGGGAAATTGTTTGAACCAGGGAGGTAGAGGTTGCAGTGAGTTGAGATCCTGCCACTGCACTCCAGCCTGAGTGACAGAGGGAGACTCTGTCTGAAAAAAGAAAAAGATACATAGGAGAGATTTTTTTTTTTTTTTTTTTTTGGAGACAAGGTCTTGCTCTATGGCCCAGACTGGAGTGCAGTAGCTCGATCTCAGCTTCCCGCATTCAAGTGATTTTCCTGCTTCAGTCTCCCAAGTAGCTGGCATTACAGGTGTGCACCACCACTCCCTGATAATTTTTGCATTTCTAGTAGAGATGGACTTTCACCATGTTGGCCAGGCTGGTCTCAAACTCCTGACCTCAGGTGATCCACCTGCCTTGGCCTACTACAAAGTGCTGGGATCACAGGCGTGAGCCACTGCTTACATTTCTATTGAGGGGAGAAATAGCCCTGCATGTACTGTGAGATATTTGTATAAGAATCTTAATAGTTTCAACTATTTATAAAACTTTTACATTTTGGATTATTTGGATTATATTATCTATACTTTGCTTTACTGGGCCCAGGGGGAGTTAAGCTTTTCCTTTTTATTACAGCTAAGTGGTCCGTCATGCATGTTGGACCACTTCAGCCCCCAGGGAGCATGTGCTTGTCTAAAGATGGCAACTCTTGTTTATGATGTTTTGGTTGGATTTCTAATATTTGGTGTGATTAAAGCAGAAATGCATTTCTAGCCACTGCTGATTACAGACATACTGCACTCTGATGGGTATTGCTTAGCAACTTAGTGCAGTAGACCCACTTAAAAGAAGTGGATGTGTTCCATATTGACATTTTGAGCTCACATTCTTGTGGGTAATACAAAATTGCTTAACCTGCTAATATTGTAGCTAAACCTAGTATTTATGGCCTAACTTAAATGAGTATTGCCAATTTTAGAAGTAATCACCTCCTTGATTAGGGAAATGACAGTTGCAAAGGTGGATAGCCAGAAAGCTGAATGTTACCAGTTACATCTTAGGTCTCTCCTTAACCTGCCTCTGTGGTGCCAAATAGTAAGTTTCTAACTGAAACTGACACATTGTAGGTGTGTAGCTTATTATTATTTTGAGACAGAGTTTTCGCTCTTGTCACCCAGATTGGGTGCAATGGTGAGATCTCAGTTCACTGCAACCTTCGCCTCCTAAGTTCAAGTGATTCTCTTGCCTCAGCCTCCCAAGTAGCTGGGATTATAGGTGCCTGCCACCCTGCCCAGCTGATTTTTGTATTTTTAGTGGAAACAGCATTTCTCCATGTTGGCCAGGTTAGTCTCGAATTCCTGACCTCAGGTAATCCACCAGCCTTGGCATCTCAAAGTGCTGGGATTACAGGCAGGAGCCACTGTGGCCAGCCAGGTACGTAGCTTTAAATTGTGGCTCATTAACCTGATTTCCAAACAAATTAGAACCTTCTGCGTATCTCGCCTAGTTCTGTATGCCCCACTGGTCCTTGTAGAGCTTTATTTCTGAAAGGAAATTTGGGAAAACTATGGATATTTGAACTTAAAAAGAAGTTCATCCCAAAATGATTTGTTGTAAATATGTTCACTTAAAGCAATTATATGTTTCATATCTGATCAAGCAAAAGTGGTATATAAAAGCCAAAACCCCATTCAAAGAACATATTATAAACTCTGATTTTAGAGGTAATAGTAGCATAATTGTTGTTCTCATATATTGAGTGTTAATCTGAATGTTCTTTGAATATGCAGTGAGAGATTCACAGTATTACAATGATTGGCAAGTGTCTTTGAACAAACCACGTTAATTAGACAAATAGATTTGCAAAATTTTGGACCTTTTTGGATTTAAAAAATATGGTGGCTCACACCTGTAATCCCAGCACTTTGGGAGGTTGTTGTGGGCAGATCAGGAAGTCAGGAGATTGGATCATCCTGGCCAATATGGTGCAATCCCTACTAAAAATACAAAAATTAGCTGGGTGTGGTGGGGTACGCCTGTAGGCCCAGCTACTTGGGATGCTGAGGTAGGAGAATCGCTTGAACCTGGGAGGTGGAGGTTGCAGTGAGCTGAAATGGCGCCACTGCACTGCAGCCTGGGGACAGAGTGAGACTCCGTGTCAAAGAAAAAAATAGCCTCATTCTTAAAGCCTGGTCTGTAATTTTTATAAGGCCTTATAATAGTTGAAAATAAGTACTCTGTTATGGTGAAGAATACTTTATGGTGACTGAGAAGTAATACTTATTCTTCCAATTTTAGTATTGTGCTGCTGAAGCAAGCACAATAATGCTTATTCTTTACTTTGGAATTCTTTTTTTTTTGAGACGGAGTCTTGAGCTGTTGTGCAGGCTGTAGTGTAGTAATGAGATCTCTGTTCACTGCAATCTCTGCCTCCTGGGTTCAAGCAATTCTCCTGCCTCAGCCTCCTGAGTAGCTGGGACTACAGGCACGCACTGCCACGCCCAGCTAATTTTTTTTGTAGTTTTAGTAGAGAGGGGGTTTTACCACCAAGTTAGGCCTGGATGGTCTTAATCTCCTGACCTTTCGCCTTGGCCTCCCAGAGTGCTGGGATTACAGGCGTGAGCCACCGCGCCTGGCCAGAAATCATCTTTTTTTTTTCCTTTTAGTTGCATTTATTTTAAGGCTGAATTTACTCCCGTGCCATAAGTTTTTGCTTCTTCAGTTTCTTCTGGGATATCTTCTTCTTCTGGGCAACCTCCTCTTCTGGTTTAGGAACAATCTGTTCCTTTTCAGTAAGGATCATCTCAATGTGGCAGGGAGAACTCATGTATGGGTTAATTCGACCATGAGCTCTGTAGGTCCGGCGGCGCATCTTGGGTGCTTTGTTCACTTGGATATGCTCAATGACCAGAGAATCT